TTTAACCATAGTGATTTTTTGAAAATTCTTTAAAATATTGTTAGTGTGTTTGTCAGCTATAATTATAGAACCAAGTTATATCATAATAAGGTACTTTTGAAAATCCGGTCGTTGAATCTACCATTCACACTCAGGTAGATACTACCCCAAAGATACTCTAAAGGACAGAAGACCAGCCAGTGAGATGGGAATCAGACCTCAGGGCTGTCTGTCTGTTTTCTAGGAAAAGGCTATTTATGTTTTGTTTTTAAAACAGCTTACTTTTTCAGAGGAATGTTATCCCTCACTACTCTGCAAAGAACATTTATGTGGTGAAAGAAGAAATTTATAGAAATCAACCCAAATACAGCAAGTTTCAAAATGCAATTCTTTAACAACCTTTTCTCTTTCACACTACCACACTATTCTGGCATAGCTGGAGGATTTAAGGATAAAATGAAACTAAAAGATGATAAGATGCTGAGCCAAGGGAAGATGACCATAAAACTAGAAAAGTCTGGACGTGGTCCCATAGTGTAGCAGTTAGCACGTCTGCTTTACATGCAAAAGGTCCTGGGTTCACGCCCCAGTGGAACCACGGTCCATGGTCTACAGCCATGCCACCCTGAACAAGCTCGATGTCTGATCTTGGAAGCTAAGCAGGGTCGGCCTGGTTAGTACTTGGATGGGAGACCACCTAGGAAGACCAGGTGCTGTAGACATATAAAAAAACCCAAAAAACTAGGAAAGTCAAAGCAAGACTCCAGGCAAAAGCAGGAAGTTATGACACATAAACACACAGTTGACTAATGGCAGCAAAACTGCACACAGCGTTCCAGGAACAAACTGTCATGTCTGATCTGTGTTTTCAGAAACATGGAGGCTAAAAGTCTGTGCTAGCACTCTTCCTTGGAATGTGACAGCCTGGAAAATCCTTAGAGCCTAATGCAATCACTTTGTCAATTTGACAACCAATTTTGGCCTTGGCCTCCAAGACAGCTACTCTAATACCAACACTTTAATGCCTGTTTCTTCTTTAACAAATCAAAGCACCTAAGATTCAGGGAGCATTGGACATGGGACATGTTAAGCTGCATCAGCGTTAGACTCTGACAGTCTAAAAACTAATGAAAGCTGTTATAGTTACAGTTAGGAGTCTCCCTTTACGTCTCTTTAAAAAAATTTTTTAGAACTTAAGTATAATTAGAATATAATTACTGTATCTGCTTTTTCCAGAATTACCTTTAGTCGATAACTCAGGAACTGAGTGATTTTCATCATGTTCCACTCAAAACCCTCATTGACCAAAATCGACCCAAAGAATACTATTCTTAAAAAGAAAATTAAAATCGTTTAGTCAAAAGAAGGAATTAATAAAACTAAAACCACAAACAGAGTTAAGACGGTTACGACAGGTGGGCATTTTTGTGTGTATCCTATTCACTCAATGATCCAAGTAAAATGAGGATTTTCTTTCAGCAGTATTCAGGCTAAACATTGGTATTGGAAAGTCAAATTTCCAGCCCTTACTTAATCTCATTCTGGCCTCTCCTTGCTCTAAAATAAAGTATGATTATGAAAAAAAAAAAAATCTCCTGATTTTGCTATATACAACAGAGGATAGTGGGCAATATAATTATTTCATTTTCTTTCCTTATAAAGTTCAGCCTAAAATATATAAACAGTAAATCAGTACAATATGGCCAATGAAAATAAATATGTGAAGTAAACTAACAAGTATAAAGAATAGTTAGAAGGAAAGAACCTCCCAAATGATATAAACTCAAACTAAGCCATCTAAATGTATATGGCTACAAATGAAGAGAATGAAGCATCATAAAAATAGTTGAAATTGTCAATGAAGAAGATTTTTCTTTTTCTGTATAGCTGTTGAACTGTGTTAAACATTTATTTTTTAAAAAAGAGGCCCAAACAACAGAATTTAATATAAAAAGCTTTGAACAAGAGCCAAAGAAATCTCTAGAACTTCACGTTGATACTCTGTTTTTCTAAAAAATGAAAAAAGTCTCGAGATTCCTTTGAAAATACAATAAAATAGAAGGGAGAAAATCTGCTTTTAAAGTGAAGACAGTCCTTTTTCATACCAACCATTTCTTAGGAACTCTGCTTAACTATCACACAAAAGGCCAACAACGTCTCTAAATGACTGCAGACTAAATAGTAACTTCTGGCTAGAAGACGTAGCCTAGGAAAATTTATCCCTGAAAGAATGAAAACTCCATTTTCTCTGGCAGCTTTATCTAGGTTCTTTTTTGGCACAAAAGTTAGAAATTTCAAATTGGTATATATCTCAATATTTTGTTACACTTTGCTCCAGTAGGGGAAGTCCTCCTTCAATTTACATAGTTTTATGAAATGCAGGACTATTTTGATAGCTTTGTCAGCTTTTCTAAATCCCAACCAAATATCCTCTAATAGAATAAAAACTACTTTCTGAACCCCAGCACTCTCCTCGCAAGTGCTCTTCGTGTTCTAATCACCTGAGTTAGCAAATAATTATTGAAAACGAGTCTTAACTTTCCATCATCCCTCCTAAGACCTGGATGTACAGGCTACAGTTATTTCTACAACATCAGTGAAGAAATGAACCTTGTGGATGGAGAGCCCTGGCTGACCCCCGACTCCATTCCACTGCATACCCGGTTCTGGGGTGGCCACGTGGTCAGAGTTTATCTATAACTTCTGGTGGAACCAGAGAGAAAAGGCCACCTTTCCCACTCTGATTGCTACTGTAAAGATAGTGAGCCTGAAGCTATAAAGGCCTGCCTGAGAGTGAAGCCAAAACAAAGGGAAGCACTGTTGAGAAATGGAGAAAAACTGAGTCCAGGAGACTCCATCCAGCTACAGCCGAAGCTAACATCACCTGTAGTTTTTTGGGTCCTACGAACCAATGGGTGCGTAACTCTACCCCCGCCGATTTATTTTCTTTGAGTCAATGTGAATTGATTTTGTCCCTTGAATGGAGACAGTCCTATATCACTTAAGATGTTTTTGGCTGCAAGTAGAAGAATACCTGACTAAAAATGGCTTAAACGATACATGTTTATCATCTCATATAACAGGCAGCTCTGAGACAGGTAGCTTCAGGGCTATCGATTCAACAAAACAAAAGTGCAGTCAAGAATCTGCTTCCTATCTGTCCCCTTGGCAATCTTTAGCATTCTGGTTTTGTCTCTGAGCCACAGTGACTGCAAGATGGCCATCAGTGCTCCAGGCACCACATCCTCATTCGACTGGCATCAAAGGAAGGGAAAATTACTCTTTTTATCAGAGAGGAAAAAGATTTCCCAAACCCACCACCAAGCATACTTCCCCTTGGTCTCACTGGCCAGAACTGGATTTCATATTGCCTTGCTGCCTCCACAACTCTCAACCAATCTGTGGCAAAGGAGAATGGAATCATCATGATGGTGAAGACCAATCTTGACTCAGAGGAGACCATACTCCTTGAGCGCACTGTGGCAAGACACCTGATCAAAATAAGGGTTCTATTACGAAGGAAGAAGGGAGGAAATAGCTCTCGGGTAGGTAACCGACAATGTCTGCTATAAGTCCTAATACGAGCACAGGTGGTCAATCACTTGCAGTTGTCCATTCATTCAAGAGACAGGGCAGAACTTGAAATTCCAAACCAAATGATCGAAATCATCATTTTAATTTCCATGAGCACAATACCTAAATACACACAAACTATAGTTCTTCTTCTATGAAAACTGACTGCAAAACTGTAAATTCCTCAGAATATTTTTTTATGTCTTTACTGAATGCCCCAGAATAATAAGTATTAGCTATGTTGGTTATTTTCCATGTGTTTAACATCAGAAAAAGAATGTTAATGAATGGTCCTCCATTTCTTAGAGCTCTAGGGCTATCTTGTTAGCTTAGGTTGTTAGAATCTGCGAGGATATGCAGCTGAAGAGTTTGCAAAATAGAGAACAGGAATTTTGAGTAAAACTGGTTCCCAACTCTTTACTGAAGATCAATACTATCCCATGGTGCCTCTTCCTTAAAATATGGAATCACCTGGGGGTCATGAGGCTTAAAGGAGATGGCAGTGTGGAAGCACATAGGCCAGAGCCTGGCACTCAGTAGTACTGTGATGTCCAGGGAAAACGTAGGAAGGGCGGTAGGAATGCAGGTGGTGAAAGGGTAAGGAGAATGAACAGAGCCTGAGCGTCCATTCCCAAAGCTAACCTAAACCACAGAATTACTAAATATGCTAAACAAGATCTAAAAGGCAAAGAAAATCAACTTATCAAGCATCGGCGATAAGAAAAAAATCAAATATCATCGGTCGGTAAGTGGAAACTAGTAAGTAACTACATTATGATAATATGATGAAAACTTTAGCTGACCTTGGTAAAACCTTATTTACAATGCCTTAAGCATCCCCACCCACATTTTTGTCTTGATCTTAGTAAGATCTCTGCTTCTTCCTTCACTAACCACTTCAATGAACTTGCATGTGAACTCACGTGTTATTACACCAACTCATTCACTCTAAATAGAGGCTAATTATCTTGAGTTAATTGCCACAGGAAACAAGAGAGGTAGAATGAGCGGAATGCTCTCTGAAGACTTTAGATTTGACTCCAACATTAAAGTGAGCCATTTCCCCTTCCTAAAATGTGCCGCGAGAGCCCCTTTTGGCTGTAAAATTCAGTGACTCTATGAATTAAATGTCAATTATTTGCCTTAGTTCAGTTGGATGTCAGCATAGCCTAGTAGCAGAGGTCAATGTGCCCCTAGAAGTAGAAAAGGCCTTCCAGCTGTGTAGAGGGGCTTCTATGTGACCTTTATAAGGTCATCATCCCTCTCTGAGCCACAGTGTCCTCATTTGTAAAACGGGATCATAACACCCTCATGGCTCGTTGCAGTGAGGATTAAATGAGATCAGGTATGTCCCACATCTCTTGTGGTTCCTGGCAGTAGGGAGGCACTCAAAAAAAATGACAGTTACGGCTACTGCTTTCACTATAGAACCACCAATAAGCACTTACCTAAAGAAACAACAGCAACGCTCTCTGGCAAGAAATGTAATCTGTATCGGATCAGTAAATGCACCAATATGATGCAGATAGCTGTGGGAAAAATAAGACACTGTTAAAATTTTTAAATGATAAACACTAAGTTCAAGGCAATAGTTACTTCTGGAGGGCTACCAAGAAAATGGACAACTGACAATGATACAGAAAACCTCAGTGGTATTTTCAACCTCTTATTCCTTAACCTGGAGGTAGACTCCCAGTGTTTATAACATTTTCTCCATACATCCTTCCATACCCGAATTAGTTTTCCAGTGGTTATTGAAAGAGCATCAGACATCTTTATTTTTTTCTAACTTTAAACTTTATACAACTATTAAAATTATTCAAATTTCCCTGATTCTGAGAAAAGATCTCTAACTTTTTTGAAGTAACCATCAACTGGAAAACTATACGGTGAGGAGGAAGTCAATGAAATCAATCACTTTTAGGTATGTATAAGTGCGACAGAATATGTTGAAACAAAGTATTTTGCTACCATGTGACTGGTTCTCTAACATAAGCAAGGATGTTTTATAAACAGAACAAAGTAAATACTTTGGTTCAGTGATAAGAACATTAGAGATCTAAAGATGGGGCACCTGTTCTCCAGCTGGGCACCGGGGCTCCCACTGGTTAAGGGCTCCCCATGAGTAAGGCACTGCACTGAGCAGTTCCAAATGCTCTCATTCGACCCCCAACATCCCTCTTAACTAGCCATTATTACTATTATCTCCTTTGATTTTTAGATGAGAAAACCGAGGCTTAGAGGTAGGTGCTGGAAGGTGGAACCAGATTCCAATCCTGTGCCCTTAAACCATGGCATCTACCACCTCCCTCGTGGCTTCCTTCATTCCTCAGTCCTCGAAATCAGAATAACATCTGACTTTCCCCATAGAAGTGTTGTCATGAAAGAAAAAAAAGAAACAAAAGGATGTAAAACTATTTAACAGGAATAAGTATTTCTGGACCAAAAAAATTAAAAGTATACTTTCACATTAATAATTCCTAACTCTAACTTCATGTTTGTGTGCATGTCTTTTTTTAGGCACCTATGTGGTATACACCCTCATCAATCACTGTGTTATCTTAATAATACTAAAATAATTTTCATGGTTTTTTTCCTTGTAAAAAGAAATGTTTAAACAATCTGCATGGCTGTTAACTGGTCACATTGACAAATTAGATATCTTTAGTGCCACCAAAAAGCACCAGGTGGCCAGAGAAAGGAAACAGTTATAAATATAGAAATTTTGTCCTCCTTTCATTCTGTGCTTTAAACGATCAATCTGTGGTGTTATTTTATTATAAATATTTAACCTAGTTAGAAAAATCCTACATTAAAGGCTAAGGGCAAGAAGAAAGTTCTAGTACATAAGCACAATATGTGACCGAAGAACGTGTCTGCTAGCTAAACAGGCAGGCACAGGAGCACAGAAGTAGGTAGATAACAGATTAGGGAGCTGAATCAGCTTCCGCTCTTTCTTTGCACCAATCTAGGTGAAAAATACTGATTTGAAAAGTTTAAATAAATCAAACAACTACTTGCACCTTTAAGAGCAAAGAGGAAAACTGTCTATCAACAGAGAGAGCTAAATATAGGGTTCGGGGAACGGTCTTCAGCCATTAAAAAAAAATGAGGTCTGAAAAAATTCAACGGAAAGGGAAAAATTTTTTTGTAAATCACATATCTCATAAGAATCTAGTATACAGAATATATAAAGAACTCATAACTCAACAACAAAAACAACACAATTAAAAATGAGCAAAGAACCCGAATAAACATTTCTCCTAAAAACTATAAATGACCAATAAGCATATGAAAAGATGCTCAACATCAGTAGTCAGCAGAAAAATGCAAATCAAAACTGCAATGAGATACAACTTCACACTCACTAGATGGCTATAATTAAAAAAAAAAACAAAAAAACAAAAAAGGAAGATAACAAGTGTTGGTAAGGATATAAAGAAACTGGAACCTTTGGGCATGGCTGGTGGGAATGTAAAACCGTACAGCCTCTGTGGAAAAACTTGGCAGTTCCTGAGGAAGTTACACACAGAGTAACCATTTAACCCAGCAATTCCACTCCTAGGTATATATCCAAGAAAAACAAAAAGATAGCCACACAAAAACATGTATATACACAGATGTTCATAGCAGCATTACTTACAATAGTCAAAAGGTGAAAACATAAATGTCCATCAACTGATGAATGGATAAACATGTGGTATATCCATACAATGGAATATTACTCAGCTATACAAAGGAATACAATTCTAACACATGCTGCAAGATGGATGAACCTTGAAGACATGATGCTACGTGAAAGAAGCCAGACAGAAAAGATCAAATATTGTATGATTCCATTTGTATGAAATATTCTGGGTAGGCAAATTCCCAGAGAGAGAAAGCAGAATTGTGTTTATTAGAGACTGGGGGGGAAGAATGGGGAGTGATTGCTTTTAATGGGTATTGGATTTCCTCTTGGGGTGATGAAAATGTCCTGGAACTAGACAGTGATGATGGTTGCACAGCACTGTGAATGTACTAAATGCCACTGAATTGTACACTTTAAAGTGGTAACTTTTTTATTTCACCACATACACATTCTTTAAAAAGAAAAAAAAAAGGATGAGGTAGATAAAAAACACTAACACGCAAAGATCTCCAAGACATTCCATGAGATGAGAAAGCAAGCTATAGGACACCATTTATATTAAAACAAACTCCAAGTTATATGTGCCTGTACTGTACGTGTCTGTGTTCTAAATGTGCAAATGTATAAACACCAATACATGTTTTCAAGTACACTTGGAAAAAAAAAACAGCAAGAAGGGACAAAAACTTCTCTGTGGTATGGAAGGTATGTATACCACAAGTTAGGTGCTTCCAATTTTTCATGCCTGAAGTAATAATTATGGAAACTACATTAAAACTTAGACATGACAATTTTAATAATTCCAATAAATTTAATGGCCCATAAAATGTATGCGTTAAATCATACTAATTGCTAACTCTAGTGCAAGTTAATAACAGTGACTCACTATTGTTTCTGCAGTCAGAAATCAGCAAAGGTAAGTATAAGTCTACTGACTTCAAGCTTCTAAAAGTCAACAGTAACTAGAGTTTTGGCATCCCTTCTTAACAAAGAAGAATGTTAATGTAACCCTTCAACATGCTATGGGACACAAAAGTTACCACTTGATTGGATTTGACTAACAGAGTAAACAAAAGTAGCAAATGTGTTTCAGGTTAGTAGTCCCTGAAGTCTAGAATAAACTATGGACTAATTTCCTTCAGTTTATTAGAGTTCATGTATTTAGTGAGTCAGCAAGTTACCTATGAACAGTAATTTTTTTTTTTACTTTACCAGATTTACATCTAATCAGGAATAAACATACAAGAAGCATACTGTCTTGGTAATATACAAGAACACAGGAAAAAATGCCTTCAAATTTACTTAAAAAGCATTCCATTATGCGAATACATTTTGACATACACATAAAAAGTGGAGATATCAACTCATAAACTGCCAAGAATCTGATTAGGTGAAAATGGAACCTATCTGACATTAGTGGGACTCTAGGGTCTAGGTTTATGATCCGTTTGAAGAGAAGACAATCCAAGAGAAATATACAGTACTATTAAATATAGCTCAGGCCTTTCTGGCCCCAAACATGTATTAACACTGGGCAGGTTTTGCCTGGATGAAAAAACACATTATAAAAACCTGTTTTGTGGTCTCTGGCACAAAATAATCTTACATGCTCCACACCCTGAAAATTACTTTGAAAGTCTTACTTATGCTTTTCACCCTCCCATGAAAAAAAAGTGATTACAAAAGTTTTTCCGAGCCTTTTATATTGTCTAACATGTCAAGCTGACAACAATGTGACTCATAGTACTCCTTCAGAATTAAGAAACCAAAGATTTCTTGATCAAGAAAAGAACTGCTTTTCTTCTTTTTATTCAGCTACTACAACAAAAGAAAAAGAAAACAAAACAAGAGTCCTTGATTGTTGAAGTAATTTCCTAGAAACGGAACTGAATGACATTTACAGGGTAAAAAATTACCTGGGTATTTTAAATCTCTATGGGACATTTACACTTGGGCATGGCTGGTGAGAATGTAAAATGGTATGGCCTCTGTGGAAAAGTCTGGCAGTTCCTGAGAAAGTTACACATAGAGTAACCATTTAACCCGGCAATTCCACTCCTAGATATATATCCAAGAAAAATAAAAACACTGCCCACACAAAAACGTGTACACAGATGTTCATAGCAGCACTATTGACAAGAGGCAAAAGGTGGAAACAACACAAATGTTCACAATTGATGAATGGATAAACACAATGTGGTATATCTAAACAATGGAATATTATTCAGCCATACAAGAGAATACAATTCTAACACATGCTAGTACGTGGATGGACCTTGAAGATAAGATGCTAAGTGAAAGAAGCCAGACATAATAGTTTTTTTTTTAATCTATGAGAGACAAAGTGGAGTCCTAAGACTTTAAATAAAAGTACTATATTATTATTAAAATTATTTGACTATTAACAATCTGAATATAAATGTGAAAGAAGTGACACTTTCTCTCAAAAAACAGTTCTAATAAATACTCTGCACCTTGCAGTCCGGTTGCACTGCTCATACTTCTGAAAAGATCTAATTAGAAATATGACTAAGTGTCATTAAGAACAGAGAATGTAAACATGCCAACTTCACTTTTCAAACAAGAGTTTGGACTTGGGTCAAATTTTAAGCCATTTTGTCCATAGTCAGCTAATCTGAAGTGGTTATGCAGTTTCAACTGGATTTTTTGTTTAACACAGTTTTCTACTGTCTATAATCTCTGGGAGGCACTGAAGTTATTGCCTTTTATATAAACTTCTTGATTGATGTCTGGTAACCTGGATATTAGTCTCTAGTTTCCCAAACCCCAGGTACGTCCATTGCTTAACCTTGTTGGGCCTAAATTTTCTCATCCGTTAAAGGAGGTTAAACGAAATGAGCTTTTAAGTATGAGAGAGGGAATTTGTTTAAAGAAAAATATTACATAAGTAAATAACAGCACTGATGGTATATAGATATGCAAAAGTCACGACCATGGTTAACGGAATGACAGGTTGCAGACAACAGTGTGCTAGGGCAAGGGTATCTGATCTTTTACTGAGTGGCAAACCTTTAAATAAATTTTTACATGTAACCTTAATAGATATGTGACAAAATACATCAGAAAGTCAGATGCCCTCCCATTTGACTCCCCATACCTCCTGCTGCCACCACTACCACCACTGTGCATGCACACACACGTGTGCACACGCACACACACACACACAAATTCTCTCGCCCTCTCTCATAAGCAGAGCTTGAAATCTTCTAAACTAGAAGATGTTCAAGGTTCTTTCTAGGTCAAAAATTCTTTCTTCCAAAGGACATCTAAGGTTCTGCATGAAGGGCTCTTCAGAACTGCTAAGCTCTATGATTTTATAAAGAAAAAGGAGTACCCTGTTATAAAATTATGAACTGATCACTGTCCCTCAATGTTTGAAGTGAAAACCAAATGGAGGACTTGAGAAAAGTAACAGTGATTTAAATGGGGTTAACCACACAGACAGTGCACACACTCAAGATGGCAGGTGATGGTGTCTCTGCATTCACCTAGGACAAGGAGGGTGAAGAAAATGGTCATGCCACTTGACTGTTCCTCCTGCTGAGCTTGCTCCCCTGTCTGTACAGGGAGGATGGGCTTGGCAGGGGTCGGGAGCACCAGTTTCATAGTGACAACCAGGGTAGTATGGAGGGTGACATTGAAACCTTCGTGAGTTGTATTGGGGAACCTGTTGGGGGACATAAAAAGCAGAATTAGATAAAGGAAAAAGGGCCCCAAAGTATCAACACGCAAAGCCATAAAGAGAACTTGGCATAGAGTTTTACAGAAGTCACAAGTCTTGCAGCCAACAGGCGAGACTTGGAGAGAAACTGCTTTTAAAAATTCTTGCCTGAGGCAGCAGGACAGTACCAATGCCCTCAGGCGCTTATGAACACAGCCACTTAGAAGGGAGGCACAGGGCAAATCCGGTCAGTGTGGAAACCAATGCTGCTTGCTCCTCGGCATGCAATGGGGGATTTAAACAGAGGTAAATTGGAGTCTCAACACTCCAAGGTCCAATATTATTTACTTGGTGCCTTTATTTCTCCAATTTACATTCTTTTTCTTGAATTCTATCCACAGTTGAAGAGGCCATTTGAATTTGCCCAACTGTTGATCTGGTTAGAATGCCCTACCCTACTTTACAAAATCCTTCTCAGACTTCAAAAGGCTCAAGTGTAACCTTCTCTGTAATACCCCACTGCAGCCCAATGCCTATGTTCCCCACAGCTCTCTCCTCACATTGTGCTGGGATTGTACACTAGTGCAATATTGATATAAGAATCATTGAAATTGATTGTAACAGCTAACATTTATTGAGGACTGCTTCATTCCAGGGCTAGGTAACATAGCATAACATTTAAACGGCATATGTCAGAGGTGGGTACTTTCCCTTTCATGCTCACGAACAAGAGAGGCTCAGAGAAGTTGATTAACATGGCCAATGTTTGTTAGTGGCAGAATCGAGCTGAGACCAAACTCGAAATCACTGGTCCATATCACCTCTTTTGTTTTGCGCTGCCGAGGACCAGTTTAGTGTCTGGGACAGAGCAGATGCTCAATAAATAAGGTGACTGAAAGGACCATCCTGCCAAGAGACATATCTGAAAAGCTGTCAGGTAAGGGAGAGAAATTTCAACCATGGGGTTCCATGTTAATTTTTACACACTCATTTCACAAACATAGACGGGGCATCTATAACATGCAATAGACTGTGCCCAGCAGGTATGGAGATGGATTGAGTGTTCCATTTCCAGAAGTATCTGTAGGACACAGACACCTCCCACCCCTGCACCCCCATCTCATTTTGTAGGGCTAGTCCCCTTGCTTCTATTCTACATTCCAGCCATCCTGCCTGCCTCTCTGTCCCTCAAAGGCACTAAGCCTTTTCTTGCATTTGCTGTTCCCTCTCCGATCCCTCCTTCTGCCATTCAAGTTTCAGCTGGCACATCACTTCTTCCTGGGTAGACGCCCTCCACCCTAACTATT